ATGATAGCGCTAAAATCCGTTTGAGGTCGATATGATCAATCAGTGGCTCCGTGTTAGTCAGATTTAAACCCGTGTGATTTTTACGTGCGGGGAATGCTGACAGACTAAGTTTATGTCACTAATCCGCACATGACAGAAGAAATGAAAGAAAATATTCAACCAGAGTGCATCCTCAAGTAATTCGAAATGTGTTAACGAGATGAGAAGTTTGCCTGCAACCAGACAGCCGCCATTTTGATCATCATCTACGATTTAAGGCGATAGAAATCGATGTAATAGAATCTATTACGTCGAGAAACATTTGTAGTTTGCTGTTACTGGCGGGAAGTTCGACTTGCAGTTTCTCGGCTGCTGAGCTGGGTGTATCGGGGAACTATCGACGGGCTTATGGCGACATGGGAGCGTCATGCGATGAAATCCTTGTATTATGTATACCCATAACTGCGTTACTTGAAACGGATAATTCAAGTTTTCAATAGTACACTAAACTTTAACTTTATATACATATATTTATTGTCCCTACTTCCACAATATCTGTACCGCCACAGCATACCGAATAACAATAGTTCAACTCAGAATGGAGTAGTTTCACACACGTACAAACAGAAGTGCCTTTACGAATTTGTTACAAAAGCGTCTACAACAGAATTCAAAGTTACGCCGTATATGCTACAAACTTAAGAAATTTAAACTCTGAACGATAAGTGTACAGTTTTCATCTAGTGCCATATATTCTACATACGTTACGAATGAAATGAAACAGCACGAAACGTCTGCAGAAACGGTAAAGTGCATTCAATTAAGTACCAAGTACCATACACACAATTAAATCTATGTAAAAATTAAAAAAATAACAGCACTTAATATACATGGGTGGATAAATGCACTGAATCAATAATCACAGCCTTTTTTTCAATCTATTCATCTTGACAATTCACTGAACAGTAAGAATACATTTTCTTGCGATAAAACGTTTCCGTGGCCAAATCAGCAGTTCGCGATGCTGTACTTTTGCGTTTTAGGTGCGTAGACTAGCTTCAAATATATCCATAACAACGCAATTCCACATTCTGAGTCCGTTTATTGGTGAGAAGGTCCATAACAGTAGATAACCACATGAGACCATCACATTAAACTTATATGACCAGAACTTTATACCGATGCCTGTTATGAAGCTTAAAACATTAATTTTACAGAACTGTTTCCTTAGTTCTCGTTACGAGTCTGATTAACATACAATCTGTCCATATTTCCAGATAATTCATCACCATCACCATCCTTATTTTAAAAATAACAAGCCAAGTTGCCCGCACAAAATAGCGGACCGAGGATGTTCATATTCAACGCTAAAGTAATGTTACGTAAACCAGAAATGTCAAATAATTACAACACGAGATATATTACTTCGAACAATATTCAGTTTTTACGTCGACGCTTCTTGTTACTGACAGAAGCTATCGCAGATGTGACAAAAAGAAACAGATTTTGCGTACCACCCATAGGCTGACACAAACACACAGGGAGGCTCCTAAGCATAATCCTTTGGTAAGCTCATATCACATGAGCTACAAATAAATCTCGCATGAAAGATGATATGTATCTACACCCCTGCCTCTATCGAACTTTCAGACAGAAACATGTAAATCGTAACAGGGAACAAATCCTTCTGCATTCACATACCGAAGAAAATACACATATCCTCCTCCAGCCGGCTCCATTCTAAACAAGAGCTATATACGTATGACAGCTCGATACACAATACTTTCGATTCTTCCCCCTCCCCCCAGTCAATTGCAGAAATCGATACTTAAAATAGGCACGATCGATTCAAACTTGTGCATGTAGTACGCTTTGAAACATTACACACGATTCTCATTACCTTACAATATAACAAACTAAGTAACTTTCTGTTAACACTCGAATTTTCAGCACCACTCATATCAAAGCCAAACATGGGCCACTAAATATTCTTTCAATCCTCAAGAAATGTTCCTGGGGCTAACTGTATTGTTTCTCAACCTCCCACCACCTTTCGTGTTTTCCAAGACACTACTTTTCAAGAAATTTACTCACCAAATTATATGTAATTTCTTATTCCCTTCATCCCATAATTCCTTTCATTTGACTCCATGTACTTATTCAATTCACAATCTTCCACTACATGTAGGGTTTGCGGCGAAGAGGGTATATAAAACTCAATGGTGGCGGCTTCCATACTTATTTCTTTAAAACCGCCGCAGAAAAAGAAAACAGAAAGGTCATATCTGCATATAAATTACAAGAATGCCAGCTAAGGCTTCTCTTCCCCCCCCCCATCACTTTACTAGGACAATGGAAATAAACATTTATGTGAAAGATTTGTTGACATGTTGAGTTTAGATATGTGCTAGTACTCTCATATTATGCCTAATTTAGGGCATTCCAAATGTAGGGGTGTACGTTTACTAGTAAATGTAAAACTGCTCATTTAAAACAGCCCGAGGGCTTCTTTCTCCATACAGTCATGAATAGTCATTTTGATTACTTCTGCAATCCATCCGAATTTCAAAGAACCGACAAAAATATGGCTTAATAACGAAAAGCGTCAAGCAAATTTAATGATATAATATACACTGCTAATTTGTTTCAAACATGAATTAGTGTAGTCTCTGCAGGGGACCTGCCAACTACAGCTATTTGTAATAAACTGAACAAACTGAAAATTATGTTCCATGAAGAAGTCAGTTCTGCGAAACCCGCCTGGATATCGAAGTCATTACGTGTAATATGTCAATACGATCAAAGTGGGAATCCATAAATGATACAAACTCCGTCCTAAGTGCAAACAATATATATTTATATGTCTTTGATCTTGCTCTTTCTACACTACATGTTTCGGCCTCTATCGGCCATCATCAGGTGTATACTCTTAACGTCGCTGCCACACTGAACCCAGTCTAAAACTTAACATTTAAAAACACAATGTCACTTTCTTCGTATTATCAACATCTACATCGTTGATATGTGTCTGGTATGTAGATTATGTTTCACACGTCGCACCCGATATTCTTGTAGTAGCACTCTAAAAATCTTTAGTTATGATGTTTTTAAAACCTTTTAAAATTTTT